CACGTGCACGCGAACACGGCCAGGAACACCCTTCACGCCCTTGTGCCAAATGTACGTGTTCAAAGAGGCGTCGATGCGGTTGTCCTTCGTCTTCATCAGCTTGCCAACAAAGGCCTTGATGCGCTTGATGGCGATGGGCGCGCGCTTGTGGAAGGTCTTCTTCTTGAGCAGCTTCGCCAGGTGGATAGTTGCCTCCACAGTGATGTTGTCAGGCTTGCGGCCGGTCTGCTTGCGAAGCGCGGCACGGGTAGAGCCACGCACGCGCGAGCGCTCAGCGGTGTTGCCAACGCCGTGATACTTCTTGCGCTTCTCAGAGTCCATCTTCGCCAGCACGCGCTTCCAGCGGCGGTCGTCACGCGCCTTGCGGGAGGCAACAGCCTTCTTGCGGGCATCCAGCAGCGCCTGCTTGCGCTCCTTACCGAGCACCTTACCCTTGAAGCCAGCACGTGTCATTTCACTGTCCTCCCTCGAGTTCCGTGATTGGTTTCCCCTTTGCAAGTTTAAAAGCAGCGCAAAAGCGACGAAGTATTGTAAGAGGTAAGAGGTGCGTTGCACACACGGAGACAGAGTGAATGCGCCAATCACAAGAGAAAAGTAACATACATCACACATGCAAATTACAAATCAGGGGTAAGAGAAGTAAAATAGCGCACTTAGGAATGCACCGCAACACAATATGCCAAACTCAAAATGATAGGAAGGAGTCTCAAGGGAGAAGTGTTCCGTTCCACAGTACTTCAGGCTGCGTCGTTTGAAGCCAGGAGTGGTGAGTAACAGTAAGCAAACGACATGATCGCCACCTGTGATTTTTTGCTCCGTCGCTTATTGGCTTAAAGGGCTGTCATAAGGCGTCATGTAAGCGGTATATGGGCTGCCATATTAGCAACGATCATGGAACTATAGAGCTTGTAAACGGAGACCGTTCCAGACGTGCTTCCCACATTCACTCGCTACCACAAACTAAGTCTCCCTGATGGCCTTAGAACCAACCCACGGTGAGGGCGAAATGGGGTCAAAGAAAAAGAATGGTGAACAGTAAAGACGTGAGCAATAACAGTTTTGCTTATTTTGTGAGGAGTAGGGGGTATCATGTCAGGTACATACAGAGGGGTGGGGAGACTCCTTACACTCGCTCTCCTCCTTCCATTGGGTATTACAGTGGAGGCCAGGGTATGATTTATGCTTCTTCTTCTGTTTATTTTCCTTTTCCTTTTGTTTTTGTTTTTGTTTTTGTAAGTGGCTGACAGGCACAGTCCGAAAAAGTCAATACAAACAAAAACATGTAGAAAAACAAAAACAAAACGCATGCGAATAATAATAATGATAATAAAAAAACGAAAATAAGAAAACACAGAAGACGGTACACCCCGTACTTGCGCCACACACACACACAGAGAGAGATAGAGAGACAAACAAACAAAATAAATAAATAATAATAATAACAATGACAGTTACATATATAGATAGATAGATATATAGAGGTTCGGCCATGTAGATTTGCATCTCCTTCAATTTTATATATCCATCATTCGTCACCCTCAGAAGCCGCCTAGTTTTTTTCTTCGTGTACGTCTTGTCCTAATTTAGTAACGTCAGGCTCGCACACACGCTTGTTTCCTCCTTGTTCTCTGTCTAAGTTAAATTGCATCGAAGCTGCGTTTGCAATCGATGAAACGGCGGAGATGCAGCGCAAATAAAACGGAAAGCGGGATGCACCGTGAACACAATCACAAAAACTCTCTCCTGTATTACCCATTCCCCTCTCGCCCTGATTGGATTCACACTACTTCTCCCCAAGCACCTGTTCAAACACACAACTATACAGTACAGATGGAAGCCCTGCCGCATACATGACGACGACAGCGGTTTGGATGGTTGTGGCTAAATGACAAGGACATCGGTAGATGTAATTAATGCGCACCGCAGCCCCCAACCACCGCCGATCACTCCCTCTCATCGTATTTCACACACGGCAGGTACAAAGTAAAAGTCATGAAGAAAGCTGCGCAAGCAAGAGACACGCTCCCTTCTCCTTTTCACGCCACCTCCCCCCGCGTGGCGGATATGATGACACTGACAAGTAGCGGGAAAAGGAAAAAAGAACAAACACACACACATAAAACATCAAAAAAAACAAATTTTAAAAAAAAACAGCAGAAACACATGCGATTGACGCGAAGCACTAATAAAACATAGAAAACTGACTGTTATGCATTTCTCATGATCGTGCCTTTTTTTTTCTTTTGTTTCTTCTTTGCTTCTTCCTTCCCAATCAGCGGGTTTTTCTATTCTTCATGGCCAACACACACAGACACACACAAAAGACTTATGAGGCCACACTTTCGCCCCACAGCAGTGGGGACTATCCTCCTTCTCTTCATCTTCACAATCATTTTCCCTGCAGTTTCAGACAAACCTTGTAGGAGCAGACCCAAAGACCCTTCGATGAAACTTCTTTTTAGTTTTTAGTTTTTAGTTTTTTTTGTTGCTTCCCATTTCCCTCACGCCAGCATATTTTCCTCTACTTTTTAGTCATATTGCTTTACACACGCTCTATCTACTCTTTTTCCTTTTTTTTTTATTTCCTCGCTCCAACTTACACTCGGTACTTCTTTTTCTCCGTTCTAGTTGAGGGTGAGAAGAAGAAAAAACATCGCATATATATATATATATATATATGTAGCATTCTGTGAGTATAATCAAATGTTGTTTTCTCCCCTTGCGTTTGTGCCCCATCTTATGCCATGATTTCCAGACTCACTTCAACGCATCGATGAAGCGGCGTACTTCATCCAGTGAATCCGCGCTCAGCTCTGAGAGCAGCACCTTTACTGCCTGCACAACACCTGATTCAGTTGGGCCAATTTGAAGCGATGGCACATGCATCGAACCCATCCCACCGTTGCTAAAGGACGCCCTCTTGGCGTGAAACACGCGCTGTACCGAGTCATGTTGTGAATATTGCGGAGACTCTAAACGCGTGGTCCTCCGTTTTGCCAAATGACCCTTTGTGGGACTGCGGGCCACCGGGGTACGTCGGCCACCGTTACCGTGCACAGAATTCTCATCAAAGTAATCGGAGGTGCTGTTATGACGAGACTTCGGCCCCGGATGCCTCGCTGCTGCGTGGAGAGCCATATGGTTTACTGCAGGTCGCACCTTTCCCTTGGCAGGATCGCAGTACATTGATGGGGGCGGGGCAATTGTCCGAAGGTTCGGAAACACCGTGTACGCCTCTTCCCGCTCCTGCGGCAGAATGTCGACGTCGTCCAGGCGTTGCAGGCTTCCAATAGCGGCAATGACAAAGCGTCTGTAATTTGGGTCCTGGCAGATGGGATTTTCTGCGAGATTTAGCACCGTCAGGTAGTTACTATCACAGAGGTGAAGCACCTGATTGAGGTCCTCCACGCGATTTTTGCGGAGGTACAGCTCACACAGTCGGCGGCAGTTCTCAAGAACCCCAAGCTCACTGAGCTCGTTGAGACTAAGAGAGAGCACTTCGAGGTTGTTTGCACGTCTCAGCACGCCAATGTCGCTGAGTTGCGCTGCGCATACGTTTAGCTTCCGCACACGCTGGATGTTGTCCACCTTAGTCTTCTGCAGCACCAAGTTCTCCGTAAGAACCCCTGCCATGGCGAGGAACCTTCCGCTTCTTGTTTTCTATGAGCCAGTGCGGCAACAGCAGCAAGAAAAGAGGAATATAATGTAATAATAATAATAATAATAACCCACACCACCACCACCGCCGGGGCAGCAAGGGAGGAGACAAAAAGGAGCGCCGTGGGCAGATGGAAAACGCAAAAACACGCGGCAAACCAGACACACTCACACAAACAAAACATAACAAAAGTCGTGGAGTGGAACTCCCAACAACAACAACAAGCGGAAAAAATAATAATCACAAAGGCGATCAATCATTTCGTGAAGGCCGCAACAATGACGATGCCACCCATTAATATTACCTCAGTTTAATCACCCAAAGCAGGAACGGTACTACTGCCACTAACCCCATCCTTATCCGTCTGACATCTTCCTTCCTCGTTTTCCCTCGTTTGCTGTTGTGTGAACTCTGTGCGCCTCTCATCCGCCTGCAGCTCGTTCACGAGCCTCGCACCAATTTTTGTGATGCCATCGTAGCGCAAGCGTACTCTTCTCCATTCCTTGACACCACTCTTTTCCACTGTCTCCAGCACCTCAAACGCCTCTGGGTACCGTTTGAGGATAGCCGTCAATCGTGACACTGCCCCTCCGTGATTCTGCATGTACTTGAACACGTGTCGTGGGAGAAGTGCTGCCAACACGTCAATGCCCTTGTTATCACCCCAGTCCTCCTTTTTATTGGTGAGACGCGGCAGGAGAAACAGCAGGATCTCTTCATCGCTAAAGGCATTATGGTTCAAATTCTCCCCGTCACTCGAAACATCCTCCATGCCTTGTTCGCGCCGCATGACGTTAAGGGAGGTGGTTGTTATACACTGCGTAATGAACAGATGCGGGAACTGATCAAAGAAGTCAACCCCAACATGCATCGCGCCCTTGCCGCCGTCCGGCAACAGCGTCTCGCGCACCGCCGCATTGTTAACCCACACCCCTGGCAACATCTGGTCGTAAATGTGAAACGCCACCACATTGGGGTTCAAGAAGGCGTTTCCGTGTGGAAAACGACGCCGAAACTCCTCTCGCACGATCGACCGACGCAGCTTCTGTCGACGCATCGGCGCCATATTTTTCAGCTTTAAGCGTTCGTCCTGTAACTCCTCGTCTGTCAAACCACTAAGTTTTTCACTCTTCGATGTCAGATGTCGCGCCACCTCCGCCTCAGACAACAAAAACTTCATTCCAAGCACCTCGCGTATCTCATTACATGCGTCGCCGTTGACATAAAACCGATCTGCATCGGCCGATTCAACGCACATGGTGGGACCCAGCGAAAAAGAAATACGCTCTGGATATGACATGGCCACCTGGAGTAACGGTGCCTGGATAACACCATCCGTCAACGACAGCAACTCGTCAATGGGTAGAAAAACATCCGTTCGCAAGTATCGTGAGAGACGCCACAAATCATACCGAGGGGAAGCGACTTCGTCCCAAGTACACACCTTTTCCATCTGGCGTTGATCGAGTAAAGACACAGAACGAGGTCCAAGCCCAACAATAATTGCTTTTTTCCCATGGTAACCCACCTGCACATACAAAGGCATTGCAGTCTCACTTGTGTGACGCCGCACAGCACGCTCCACGCGTTCCATTATCGACACAAGGCGCTGAACGGTTGCCTCCATGTAAGGCAATTTCCAGGCACTTTGACAAGAAGTCAAAGGTACAGGTTTGTCAGGAAGGAGGCTGCAATTATCACATAGTTCCTTCAAATCAATTACTGATTTCTGGCTTCTAACTTCAACGCACTGTGTCACAGGAGGCTTTTTTACTTCAAGCTGTCTGACGCATAACACGCCATTCACCATCTTCACGGCCAAGTGGGGTTCATCTGATTCTTCTGAACGACGACAAAACTCTGCTAGTCCTCCCAGCTCCGCCAGCACCTCGCACGTCTCGTCGGAGAGAGTGGACGACACGCATGAAATGGCCACCCATGCCGGAGAGGATCTCGCACCAAGACGTTGAATGGCGTGCTGGATCTCACGCCGTATGTGCGCTTCCGTGAGGCATGCCCTACTGTGCCTCAGGTGAAACCATCCTAGGAGAGCGCCCGCTGTGCCCCAGCGACGCATGCTGGTTGCCATGACGCGTGATAGCCAAAAAAGCAATGGCAAAGCCAAAACCAAAGCAACAACAAAGAAACACAACCAAACCATCCCGCATACAAACAACAACAACAACCACAAAGACAGCAACAATAACAACGAATAAAGACCCTTAACACGAGCGGAGGAACCCCGCCACGCGAGCCACAACACAAATATGCACACAAAACCATGTAAACACAAGGGTAAAAAAGGCATACAAGTCCGAATGAAACGCCAGGTAATGTGTGAGACAACATGCAACTTTCACGCGACTACTGGCATTGAGGTCAACCTCAAGATTATTCACAAACCTTCGCTCCTCCCCACCTAAGGACGATTATGGCGGAGTTGATAACAACAGGAGTCTTCGACAAAGCCTCTACCTCTTACCCACGCACGCGCCGTTCACGATCCCATACATGCTGTGGGAACGAAATTGCAAAAATCGATTGATGGGGTTTCCCAGGCTCTGGTTGGTGGTAGGTGAACACTTCTGCAGCAAACCCAACTGCCTTCAGTGCCCCCTCAACGATGCCGCCCATAAAACTTGCGTAGTTGATGCTCCACCGGCCTTCTGCATCCACATACTCCGGTGATGGGTAGACGTACTTCAATACAATGGGGTCGCTGTCAAAGATAAAAAACCGGTCTGAACCTGTCTCACGTTGGAGGTCATTCGCAGGTTTACCAAACCAGCGGGACCACAGTTTGTCCTGAAAAAGCTTCAGAGCCGCCTCAATCGTGACAGGACGTCGTTGAAGCTCTAAATGGTCCTTCAGAGAGGACAACATGATAAGCCGTGCTCCGACCAATGCGCCAAGGCCTGTCAACCGCTGCTCAATCTCCTCAACGTTGGAGGCCTTGAAGGGTGTATTATGTGCTTGCGTACACATCTCAGAGAAGAGGAAGCTAAACGCCGAAAGTGACACCTTCGCCTCCTCATTAGCGGCCCGAGTTGAGGTCTTGTCGGACTTGGAACTCCGCACACTCTCACGGTACAACATACGTGCGCTCTTTTTTTTTAAAAAAAAAAGAAGAGAGAGAGAGAGAGACTGTGCACGTGTAGATGTCATCGTGTACGGTAGGCGTCAATGGGCGCCGTTCCATTCCGCGACGTCTGAGCCTGACAGCCGTTCTCAAAACACAAATGGACAAAAAAAACAAAAACAAGCAAACAATTCGCCCTCACCATCTCCGGGCTACTACACGTTCCTTTCCTTCCTTGCCCCATTAGGCTTCGGTTGTTCCTCTTGTTCATAGCGTTCTTTGGCGGTGTGAGGGGACAGACAACACGCACACACCCACTCAAACAAACAAAGCACATATCACTTCATACATGTCGAAAAATAAAATTTAAAAAACATTCAATATATAAATAAATAAATAAATAAATCCGTAAAGGAGCCGTCTATATACTTGTCTTTTTCTCTATCACTTTCATTCTCTTCATTATTGAACCCATACCCATATATACGGCTGCAAAGATGAACATTATGTTTTTTTTTTTAAAAAAAAAAAAAACTCTTTTGGGTCTCACGGAAGTCAGTTCCCAAGTGATGTGAACTTGCGTCACGCAGGTCCACATCCCGGCCTTACTCTCTCGGACTTATGTCGATCCAGTCACCCAGGTCACTGTCAAACACTGTTTCATTAAGCAAAAACATAATTTTCCAATGGACGGAAGATGAAAGCGCCAAGAGGATCTCTTCGTACACAACAACCGTCATAACCGTTGTGGGAATAACACGACATATATTCACAGGAAGACCTCTGTAAAGTCCACAAAAACCCTCAGTACGCCAAATAGTACAGAACGCCCCCCACATCGAATTGTAGCCCTTCACAGAACGGTGCCGTACGTCCTGCAGACGAGTTCGCACAACCTCAAGAGGGTTACATATTGCTGAGGCTGTCGCCTTTGAAAGTGCCGACGCAACCACGACCTCCATAAATAACGGATGAGTTTCATCCAGGAAGACTCCACGTTTCATGCCCTCGTAGAGGCTTACCTGAATTGTCGTACTTCCTGTCAAAAGGATTTGGGGCCCAACAGCGCGAATCAAAGAAGAGTATCCTTCCTTTTTTATAATACTCCTTATTCCAGAAAAGACGCCTCGGGGTTTATCGTAGCTTTCCATCTCGTACAACTGTCGACGCGTTTTGAGGAGATTCATTGGTGTGATAACAAAACCAGTAATAACGGAAGCCACACACGCACTCAAAAAATCCCGCAAAGCGCTACTGCTGCCACTTCGAGTATTGTCCGTGGTAGAACGCGTTTTATCCTCAAAACAAAAAAGCTTCTGTTGTGCGGTTCTAAACGTCAATAAATATAGCCCCCATGCAACACTGTAAGAAAACATAGACACAGTGAGACCGCTGTAAATTCCTCGCAAACCTTCTTCCCGGATAATTTGTCGTGCTGAGCGCAGGGGGAATTTACCACCCCCCTTATATAGGTGTCTACGTGTCCGGAGGAAGTCCAAGGGATAAAAAAGCGCCATGGATATGGAGCCGCCAAGAATGCCAGCCACACCATGTACCCAAGGCCCTACTGGAGTAAGAAGGGGCGTACAGGTTGCACCTGTCCCCTGCTCATGTGTTTGAAGTTTCGCCGCCATTATTGCGTAATTTCAGTACCCCAGTGTGCTGCTAAATATAACTTTTTACCACCAATACCCTCCCCTCCCCCCCCCCCCTTCGCTATGTGAATGGGTAAGTAAAATAAATTAATGGCACCACGCCAATCCGCCACTCGTGCAGTAGAAGCTGTAGCAAGGTTACCGCTAGGCGACAACGGCGCTGGAGAGAAGCAATAGGGGGCCTATTCTCCACAGGAGAGGCGGCAGGGCACCGCCAGTGCGCTCAATGTGTGGTACAGCACTTTGCAACTAAAAGAACCCAAAAATCTCCAATAAAAAAAAAAGAGTATAAAAATGAATGCGGCATCACGCCACAAAACGGCGCAACAGGGAGGGCAACAGGCCTCAGAAAAAACAAACATCGAAAATGGCAGCAGCAACACCAATAAGAAAGACACAAAAGTACGCACCTTATTTATCTTTTTGCGTCAAAAAAAAAATAGGAGGAGGCAATGAGAAAAACTGCAGGAACGTCCCACCGTGTTTTTTTTTAAATCAGCACATGCACACAGATCAACGCGACGGGTAACTAAGTGCGCCCGTACGACCCCTCCACATCCAACGATCAGTAAGAAGTGGAAGTCAGAACGGTTACATTTGAAGGTGAAGAAACAACGTAAATTATTTCGTTGTAAGACGTGTATTTTTGGGTAGGTCCATTTTTATCCCCCACTCCACATTGCCTCGCGTGATCAGCGAGAGAAAAGCGTCTTTTGCACCCTAAACTTCTTTTTTTTTCTTTTCTTCTCTGCACTTGTAGCGCGTTAGAACCCTATATTTCCGTACATGTATGGAGCATCATCGCTACACGTCGGTACCAGCAGTGTTACAGCACTGCACACCGTCGGCACGTGCAGCTGTTGTTTGGAAATTCTACTTCATATGTCCAGGGGTTACTAAACACGGCGTCACCCAACAAAGACCGGCCTGCCGCCACCGTAAGCCAACAACAAGAAGCCGACGGGATTAATTGCCGGTTTTTAGTTTCCCTCTCTGAGAGGCACTCAAAACCTGGCACCACGTCAAGGCGGCCCACAGCCTCACCAGGGCAATATAATTGTAAACACAAAGAAGAAAAAATGCAAACCATGGCCAGAGCAGAAACACGCATAAAAATTGTGCTCATGAGGCAGAAACCAACACCAACAAAAGAGTAAACATACACATTCAACCCCCCACACAATCTATTTGTGGGTGTGGTATATATATATATATATATATATGGACTGCCTACTCTTTCTTTCCAACACTGCATTACAAAGACCGTTTTTTCTTCTTTATTTCCCTTTTCGGTTGTTGTTGTTGTTGTTGTTGTGCCTCGTTGCTACACAAGCGTGTTGTTTTATTCGTCCCTATCACTTTTACAAAAAAGAAAATAATAATATTTTGCATGCTGCCAATATACACAATTTAGTGAGCTAACCAAGTCAACTAGAAGAAAAAAAGGAAAAAAGCTACATCTTATTGTAGCTCCGGCCAGTTATGGGACTCACGCCCATCTTTGTCCAGCCTCTCGTATCCATGGCGGCCAAACACATCCCTTTGCAGTGATACAAGCTGACCATACTTAAGCGTCGGTGTGAACATCCCGTTGACGTACACTAGAGTGGCGGATAGTACAGGGAGCGTCAAGGCCGTCTTTGACGTGACGAGAGCCAAAATATCGCGATAGCTCTGCAGTCCTTCAGTTATTTCCTTTTCAAAGGCACACATCAGGTTACTCAAATGTGGGTTATTCGCAAATGCCTCAGTCATTGGCTGGAGGATATACCCCTTCAAAATACAACCAGCCCGGAAAGTGGCGATGATGGCCGGCAAGTCCAAGCCAAAGTTATACACCTTGTCCAAAGTGCGGAGACACTGAAACATTTGCGCATAACACGCAATAATAGCAATGGAAACAGCATGATAGAGTTGCCGAATTTCTGGTGCGTTAGGGCCTTTCTCCTCTATTGTGTAGCCAGGAACTTGTAGAACAAATGGAAATGCCTTTGCGTTAGTCTCGCGTTCAGACTTGTACATTGTCAACTGCCGGGATATCACAGCCATGTTTAGGCTTGGTGCTGGAACGCCAACTTCTAGCGCCTCCTGTGCAGACCACAGACCTGTGCCTTTGGAACCAATGCAGTCCTTGACGTGTTCGGAAAGATAGCTGCCATCCGCAATCTTGGCCTGCGCGGCGACAATGGAAATGTCAAGCATATATGAAGCCAAAAATCCCCTAGCCCTCCAATCCTCAAGGACTTCAGCCACCTCGTCATTGTTTAACCCCATCGCACGAAGAATATCAAAGACCTCACCCCATACCTGCAGAATGGCGTACTCCCCAGCGTTATGGTACATCTTAACACACGAACCAGCCCCACCACGACCATTCATGGTGACGCATGGGCGCCCATCATCTGCCTTTGCAGCGGCAGCCTCAACGACGGGTTGGATCTCCTTCCATACACTCAGTGTGCCACCCGGAAAAAAGGCAGGTCCTTTTCGAGCTCCCTCCTCACCACCTGAAATGCCCATTCCAAGAAAACGCAGGCCTGTCGCCTCCAGTTGCTCAGCCCGGCGGGTCTGATCCTTGAAATGCGCATTACCCGTGTCCACAATAATGTCGTCCTTCTCCAGAACGCCCTTCAACTGCTCAATCGTCGCATCGGTGGCCGCACCAGCCTGGACAAGAATAAGAATCTTGCGGGGTTTTTTGATAGCCATGACAAAAGATTTCATCGTCTCAAATGCCTTGAGATTCGCTGCAAAATGAGCCGAAGCGTGCTCTTTTATAAAGCTTTCGGCTTTGGAGTATGTGCGGTTAAAAACCGCCACGTGAAACCCTTTCTCTGCAATGTTTAGTGCCAGGCTAGCACCCATCACACCCAGCCCAACGATTCCAACGTCCATCGACATTTTTTTTTCCTTTGCTTCTTCGCACAAAGACCCACGAATGCAAACTTTTCCCTTCCGTTTTTTCTTTTTTTTTGGGTTGTGGCCTAATAAAAGCTACGCAATAGCAGAACAACAAATAGTAATCCTTCCGAATATAAGACAATAACAATAACAATAAATGTATTACCACCGTTATTTACTCCCCGCTTGAGAGTGGAGTTGAGTTTGCATCCCAGCACTACTGACTATCAATAAAGAAAGATGGATAGAACTGCTCCTTCACATGCCTCCGAATGAAAATTAAGATGCACTCAGCAACCAAAGCAGCCCTGATATGTGAGAACCAAACAATAGGCAAGACAAAGAAGGAAAAGAACAACAGGCGTAGAAGAGAAACACATACGCCCATTTATAGTTTAGACGCATCGGTGTGATTGATCTTCATGGCCATTCTGATTTTTTCCTGCTCCTTTTCAATCTTCATAATGAGGCGTTGGCAACGTTTCCTTCGAAGCAGCTTGCGGCGGCTTTGGATTTTTGGTTTAACAACCTGTTTACCCGAGTCCCCACCATCACGACCTTCACCGACCAACTCTGCGATACTCCGTCGTAATCGCCGTCGTTTTTCCGCCTCTCGCCGCAGGTGCTCCAGTGTCTCACTGGCGTCAGGGCCGTCAATGATGAGCACCAGTTGCCCTTTTTTAAGCATCATGTATGCTTCCTGCCGGGAGTAGAAGGCCAGTAGTTTGTCGGCAGTATCCGCGTGCAGTGATTCATTCATTTTGGTTAATTCGTGGGCGACAACAACGCGACGCCTTGGTAACACCAAGGCAACGTCCTGCAGGACAGGCAACAACCGTCGAGGAATCTCGTAGAAGACGCAGGGATGATTCGCTTCTCGGACAACATTTCGAAGAATGCGGAGGCGTGCTCCATGGGACTCCGGCAGCATGTTCCCAAAAAAAAACGACCCATCGCGGAGGGAATGCAGAGAAGTGAGGGAAGAAAGTTTCGCGTGTGTGGATGTGGATATGGATGTGGACGTAGACAACGGTGTGTCGCTCTCATACGGGGAGAAAGTGACGCCAGAAACTGCCAGTGCGCACATCAAGGCACATGGACCGGGCACGGCCGACACACGCACCCCCTCCGATTGCATTTCCCGAATCAGCTCGCTCCCAACATCACCCACACACGGCGTCCCACTTGTACACACCAGCGCCATGCTTCTTCCTCCTCGCAGCAGCTCCACAAGTTTATCCTTGGATGCCGTGCGATTGCTACGGGAGTAGTGAATAAGACGACCTTGAGCCTCAATATGCACCAAATCTAATAATGTCTTGGTCGCTGGCCTATCCGTCGTGACAATGTAGTCCACCTGTTGAAGAACGTCAAGCGCGCGAATAGAAAAGTCCTTTAAATTTCCAATGGGGACAGACACAATGTGCAACGTGCCCGCGTCGATCTTTGTTGGGGTCGCCAATGGGTTAACGGCGTCCTCGGGAATGGTTCGTGTATGGCGATACTTGAACGATCCCAAACGCGAAGCACTAAACATGAAGAAACAACGTTGTTGCTGCATCGGTTGGTGAAGGCGGCTGCTTGTGGTGAGACGCGAGACACACTGCGTGGCAAGCCTTCGAATTGCCATGACGCACACTCCACTTTGCATCTTCCCTCAGAAAAGAAATGGAAACAAACGCACAAAAGAAAAGAAGAGACATAAGGAGAGAGAATGATGCTACAAGAAGTATACAAGCAAACGCACTAATGTACACATAGACTGCTGCGTACACGCCTCAACAACAACAACAACAAAAAAAAACATCACCAACTGTTAGAACAACATATTACTATGTTTTAAAATTATAGACGCCGCTCCTCCGCCTTCGCTATCGTTCTCTGGTTAGAACTAACACACTCACCCCTTCCCAATCGCGTTTGTCTCGGATACCCGTCGGTGTTTATACGTGGTTCTAACTTTTTACAATCCATTGCCACGCCGCGCCACGCCCGTTACGGTCCATCGGCGATCAGTGTGGCATACACAGATGCCGCACTGCCTCGCTGTTCAGCCACACGAAGCATCTCATCGAACACCCCGAAGGTGGGGACGTTGTTCCTCTTCTCCTGTATGATGGCCCCCACAAGGTAGGCCAAGAGTGAGCTCTCCGCAAACATGTTCTCCGCCTCCTTTTCAAAGAGAACATCACCCTCTTCCGACTCTGAGTCACCCGTATCGTTATCTGCATTTTTATTATTCTCGTCGTCGCCGTGATCGAGAGCGTTAATGTGTGAGGTATCCTCGCTCAGCAGGTAGTGCTGCAGCAACTCGGCACCAAGAACTCGGTGTCCGCCGTTTTGCCGGATATGGAACAACAGAGAGAGTACACAGGTCATGTGATCCAGTAAAAGGTGCCCCGGTGAGGTGAGTTGAGAAACCACGCGACAAGCGTCGACACGAACGTCATATGCGTCGTCAAGGAGAAGACGAAGAAGAATCAAGAAGAATGCAGACCGATGCTTCAGGGCAGTGGCAGAAGCGCCGTCGTCTAGATACAATAGTCCATCGTTCAGAGCAGACACGGCTGCGGCACGGTTCTGGACATTAAAGAAGGGACGGGAGTAGTATTCAAGGACGCTCAAGAAGGTCGCACTGGAGGCACCGTGACGTACACAGCAACGACCAAGAAAACGAATGGCCCAACTTTGCACCTCCGTGTTTTGCAGCGGTAGCTTTGATTGGGGATCCATGCGGCAAAGCAAACGTTCCTCCACCGCATTGCACAACGCCTCACATGGCCCAGACCGTAGCTCCTCATCGTTGCCCAGCAGTACAAGATACTCCAGATGCGCTTTCATGTGCTGAACCCTCGTGCACGACAATCTCTGCAACGAAGCGCCCTCTGAAAGTTCGCTCAACAACATCTGCAACGCCACATGTACAACATCCAAGTGAAGGCGCAATGCAAACTTCCTCATAGTTTTTTTAGACTCCTCACGTGACCACCGTTGCTCCGCCGTGTAGTGGCTTACGTGGTCCATAACGTAGGATATGAGGCACTCCTCATTTTTGCTCGCAAAGACCTGAGCCAGGGCATCCCACACTGCATCGCTTTCTTTTAAAGAAATTGCGTTGCTTCGTTTATCTGTAGCCTCCTTTCCCTTCCCTTCTTCCTCCTCCTCCTCGCTTGACAGTGAGAGAAGTCCAACCACTAGGAGAGTAAAAAGTGTACCGTACTCCTTCACCGCAGCGTGATCGTGTCGCGCCAACTCAAACGATCGTGTGGGCGCACAGACTGTTTTGTACACTACCGCCACTCCAAAGCGCATCAAACTAGTGACGGCAGTGGGATTCTTCTCGCACAGCCCAAAACTCTGAGTGTAGTAAATAACATCAGATGCCAAACTCAAGAAGGTCACAGCAACTGTGGGGCAGTGTACACATGCTTGGTAGAGCGTTGAGGTAAAGGCCGTCACAGAAGCTGCACCAAGGCCCTCTAATAACAATCGATTGACAAGTAAAGCTACAGTGGCCGTTGCGTTGCCATTCACCGCCTTCGTCCTCACATTGCGGCGTAACGTCCCCACGTAAAACGTATGAAACTGTTGCAAATGAAGTAATGCGCCATGTACTGCGTTAAGGTGAGTTTTTGATTGCGATATCGTCGACAGCAGCTCCGCAACAAACCCCTCCAAGTGGACGGGAGGCACGAGTGAAGTTAGCGCAACAGCACTTGCGGCACGAATCATAAGATGTTTAGATGAGCCACAGCGCACAATGGCCCGGGTAATACAAGCAGAATCCGTCGCCGTGTCAGCAGGTGCTTGAAGTATGGTTGCATTCGTTAAAAGATGTGGGGGGTCGGGGGTGAGCATAGAGAGCATTTGCAACAGCGGAAACACACCGAGGCTGGGCAGAGGCCTCGTACAACTCTTCACCAACTCATCGTATGCGAGGGACAAGGCTCGGGGTGCTCGAACAGCGATGTCGTGCAGTGACGTGTTAACACCCACTCCACCTGTGGAGGGATGCTCCCCCACAAAGCGAGGGAGTACAGCCGAGAAGAGCATCAGGGAGCTGTTCCGTATTCCCCAGCTGGAGTCATCGAAGCCTGCAGCAGCAATCCAAAACGCATCTTCCAAATTTGCCACTGAACGTGAGGCGAATATCTTATTTTCAAAAATAAACGTAAGAACATTTAACGCATTTGAACGCTGACTACGACACTCCTCTTCAGTCAAACACTGCTGGGGATCATCGCCGCCAACGTGCACTCCGGTCGCCACCTGCAGCAGCAGTTTCATGGCCTTTGGAAAAAGAATGGCAGGAACCGTGGGGTCTTCAGCTTCCAAAACTGCCAATATGGCGTGTGGTAGACCCTGACTCCGCCGAAGCATCCGCGCAACATTTGTTGACGTGACACCGTCTGGTCCCAAAAAAAAGTCAAGCATTTCCACAGGAAGTGAGTGATACGACACCTCACGTGAGCGAAGCAGGACCGAAGCCACGGTTTTAAGCGCTTGCCGTAACTTACGCATCACACCGTTGTGTTTCGTGCGAAGCAGCGATTCAATGAGGACGTAGCATATCTCACGAAGTGCCGAAAGCGAAAGATCCTCCACTCTCACAAGATTTATAACACGCTCCACAGCTGAGGCGCTCGTACGAATACTGAGCCAGGTGTTGTTAACCACGGTACGCATCTTGCCCTCTGTGCAGGAACCATCCTTGTCAAAGACATGCCCACGACAATCCACCTCCACCTCACTGTTATCAGTGGAGTTTACAGGCTCGTCACCAACAAGAAAGGAGCATGTCTGTAGAACGGCGCTGCAACAACGCAATAACATGTTACATGCCTCGTAAAATTGGGGAGCATCACGTTTTACCTCCCATGCATTTGAAAGTAAAGCCGCACAAAGCGAGAGTGAGCCGTGTAGGGGATGAAGCTGAAGAAATTCACAGGCACCTTTTATTCCCAATTCACGCAGTTTTGAAATTTTTTCCTTGAGCAGCCTCATCCCAAACTCTACTTCCCTCACCCGTTTTTCACACTCCTGCAACGGATTCTCGTACGCTGCTTGCTTCGCTGCTGGCGTGAAACAAGTTGCTAAAATGTAACGAAGCACTTCACCCTCTGCCTTTCGAAACGTTCGCGCTCGCAGCAGTTCTGCCTTGGCGTCAGCTGCCGCCATAGGATCGCCAAGATAACGCGGTGAAAAAATTGCGTCATGAGCGTGATCGCAGTACAGCAGAAGAAGATTAAAGGCAGACAAGCGTGCCTTTTCCCAGCCCTCTGACAGACACTCCAACAGGCCCTCGATAAGCACGGTGGGAAACAATTGCTCTTTAAGCTGTTCCACTTCTTGCAGTGAAAGAAACTCAAGTGTGCTTCGAAGAAGACACGAATATGTGGTCATGGCCGCTACACGTCGCTCGAGAGAAAGGTTACAGCACCAGCTTGCATTCTCACCAATCTGTGGACCCAGACAGCCAACCATCCGCACACAGTGATCTACTACCAACAGCTTATACTGCGCAGCCCTCTCACTTCCCTCTATGCCCTTCCTTAGCTTGTTATTTTGGTTTTTGTAGCTATCCACAAGCCGTCGCATCCACTTTTTAAAAACCTCCAAAAGACCGCGCATCGCCACGGTGTCCCCACCACAGTACATGTTGGTACTAATATACCACTCCATCATACGACACTGCCAGCCTTCCACTGTCTCAGCCTTCTTCGTACTCAACACACAGAGACGCAGCGCTGTGTAACGAAGCTCAGTTTCATGCACCTGCAGCGTCGCCAAAATGGCCTGAAATGTTTGGCTCTTAGGGTGAAGATAGGCAGCGACATCCTTACCTACAGTACGGGCGCGATGAATAATTTCCACAATACTTTGATTAACCCGAGAGAAGTTACTGCTAGCCTCCTGTGCCCGTGTCAGCTGCGAAAGCAAGATGGGAAGAAACACATCCTCGGACTTGAGACACGGCATGATCATATGCGTCACAATGCTCGAAACACAAAAAGCCTCAGTTAAGTGAAGAGGTGCTGCGTAACCAGGAAGCAAGAGCGACTTCACCACGGGATCAATGATGCCTTGCACAAAGAGAACCTCTTTACTGTCGTCGGTGTGGTCCAACTGTCGAATACGAATTGCTACCTTTGCAAAGACATCACCCGCAATGTTTCCAATCTTGTAATTACAGGCACCAGAAAGAAGCATTCTGGTGAAACAGCTAAGACCTTCAACCTCAAAAATGGGGGTCGTGTCCTGTGAAAAATGTTTCCTCAGTACAGATAGAAACTGCGGCACGGGAAGAATACTGAGTATACCTAGCAATGCGTGATACTTCCCACGCCTCTCGTTGGGTATGCATAGAACACGTTGTAATGCATCGGTGGTGTCGAACAGCTCCTCATCCATAACATGGGTTGTACAGGTAGAGGTGCATAAAACCGCACAGCGCCTGAGCGCGGCATGTACACTGAGGATCTCACTGTACGCGTCGTACAGTGGACCTGTCACCTGAAGAGTGTTGTCGTCCCACATCCCCATAATAACCTCCGTTGCATGGTTTAAGGTGCGGGTGAGTTTTGGGTTGCGTGCACACAAACCAAAGAGTTCCTGCTTTTGAGACTCGCTCAATGTATTTCCTTCGTTTGAGCATTGCACGTTTCTTTTTGTCATATTACCTCTTATGCTTTTATTTCTACTCAGCGCAGGGTCTAACACCTCAGCAATGCAAGCCAAAACAGAGGAAATGTGTCGCACAACGCTGTCAATGGTTTGAATGGCCATGAACCGTGTGTCCGGCGCCTGAAGAGCCGAGCAATACGTCTCAGCAGCCGGCATAATGATATCGTGCACCACTACCACAGTCTCCGTTGAAAATCCCACGTCTGCAAGGGGAGTGATTGGCTTCAGTAAAACGCCAAGAGAGTTCACGTCACCGTGAAGTGGTGTGGATAAATGCGCCAGCAGACCCCGCAGCAACGCAAATCGACCATTGCTAGTGAAGGCACCAAGAACATTCCGTAATGATCCTTGTGTTTGGGGATGTTCACTGAGCCATTGATGCGGATCATGAGCGCAGACAAGTTTTACCCACTCTCGCACGTCATTGTGCGGCACTGACGCGGAGAAAAATGCAACCCGCTTCGTCTGTAGCTTCACCGCCACGTCTACGGGTGCATCAAATGTCCCACACAGACGACACACCTCAAGAAGCAGCCATGGGTCACATGTCCGTAGGGTCAAGAGAGACGACACAAGCAACCCGGCGCCATTTAGAACATCTTTTGGAAATGCTGAGGAAGAGAGCATTGTTAATGCCGGTGAAAAAAGCTTTTCCACGTCTTCTTCCAAATCGTGATTGGTGTGTGCATCCCCCTTATTCCATACATCCGCAAGCAAATGCAGGAATTTATGGGTGTACGTTGCGACAACGCGAATCCCATACCGCACATACGCCAAGTCCTCACCCAGCAATGTCCCACCGCTGACGTTCCCCAAGTCAACCTCACGACACCCCGCAGAGGCATTTGCCACCATCCACTGTAAAGTCTCCCCAAGAAGTGGAAGAATCTCAAGAAAGGTGCTGGCAAATATGCGCGGAAAAAGAGGCATGGCCACCACGGCGGTGCTATCAAGACAGTTTACCCAACTCATAATTGAATCCTTAAACCGTAGTAGAGCAGTTGCATTTTCCAACGTGGATGCTGCATCGTCGCCCAAAATGGTGGGTCGTCGCCCTGGCGTCTCTGGTTCCCAACAGCGGATGTGCGAGGCGGTGAATGCCTCACAGAAACACGTCTCAAGTTCCTCGTTCATCACGTAGACAGTCCGAATCAAGGTTGCAAGCGCACGGTGCAGGTATCGCACCTCACAACGCAACATGAGCGGAAAGACAAAGTGTATCGCTAGCTTCTGCAGAAACGCCCTGCACTCGGTGGTATTCCTCTGGGACATAAAAGCGCCCTCACGTAAGGCACCTGTTATCTGCGAGATACACTGCACCCGGTGCTCCGGCGAAGTGGCGCTCATCATATTATTCATTTCACGACACACAATGCTGGCCGCCTTAGGGGACAAAGACGCAATGGATACACCTGCCTGGCAAATGATGGGAATCCCTCTTCTTAACTCCATCAAAAGACATTCTGGGACGCCAAATTCTGCATTTGTCCTTGTGTGGTACTGCTGCAGACGCATTGCCGTGCTGTACTCGCGCATGGTGGCGACCGTCATTCCCTCAGTTCTAATAACCACAGTTGCAACAGAGAGAGAGAGAGAGAGAGAGAGAGAGACAAATAAGGCAAAAAGACAAGCACCATCAAATGCAGCCTCACGCAACCAGACAAACAAATAGGCATCCGAATCAAAGGAGGATTAAACCGACTTGACTCCACACATACATCCAGGAAAAA